TAGCCGAAAATGTCTTTGGTTTAATTTCAACGCACTGGTTCTGATCTGACCTTCTGGGGCAACAGAAAACAACTCCACACCATCCTCTATGTGACAGCCCTTCAAATACTTCAAGATGGTTATCATATCACCTCCAATATATGTAATTGCTTCGAGGAGGAGGGCCAGGCGGCACCTGAGCAAAAGGCCCAGGCCAGGGCGCGGGGCGAGGCGGGAGGCTGCTGCTGGGTGAGAGGGACCGGCTCTGGGCGGATCCTTCCGGGGGGTCCTTCCTCCCCTCTTGGAACAGCGGCAGCAGCAGTAGGGGTGAGGAGGGCTGGCCTCCCCTTGCCCCCACCGGCCCTGGCGCTGAGCAGGAGGACAATCCCCGCGGCAAGCTGAGGGGGGGACGGACCCCTCCCCCCAGCGCTTCAGTCCCCCACACCTCCTCAGGTCGTGGCCTGAGAGCATTCAATGGCCGTCTGCACATGCCAGGCAACGGGGAGCCAGAGGGACGGGGAGCCTCAATGCTCTACGGGGAGGGCAGGCCGCAGCAGGAAGGAGGGCATGCGGCCTGGCCCGGCGCCCCCATGATTGCCCTGCGCCCAAGGCGAAAGTCTAGTTCGCCTAGTGGGCGAGCCAGCCCTGGGTCTGATCCAGCAGGGCTCTTCTTAAGACCTAAGCTTATTTATCTTCTGTTGAGCTTCTTCCCATAAAGTGGTACCTCTGAGCCTTTGTCTGGAAAAACCAACCCTCTCCCACTGCTTCTACTTGATCCATACAGAATACGGCTTGTCTGACTTCAGTGAATGAATTTAGGTTAGCTGGCCTTAAGCTCCAGCTGTACTTCTGGTGGCACAGCTGCTATTCTAAAATCAGTGATGTATTTAACAAGTCTTTTCCGACTAAAAATATCACTTCTGTGGAACTGCAGGGTAGACAAGCAACTAGAAATGCAGAGAGATGGCTTTTTAAATGGATAGGTAATGTGCAACATGATTTCCTACGCCCCCAAAGGGTACATAGCAAAATCTATGTGCACTGTGCATCGCGGTATACACGACAACTATGGAAGCTGCTTTTCTGAGGCTCTTCTTCGGTGTGGTCTGGGAAAAGGGGAAGTCTGGAGGGTGCCACAACCCTGGATTCTACCCCTGCACCAGCAGAGACTCACAGTTTAATAGATGGCTGTAGCAGGGTGGTGCTAAACAGCACTGCTGAGCTTCTAAACTGCAGCCCAGCATCTGTTCAGTCGGTCAGACCTGTATTTTCAGTCCACGCTGGCAAAAAGTCGCACGAATTTAGATGGGTGACCTACTTTCTTAAAAAAATAGGTAAGGTTCAGCTGTCGCTTTGGTGGCAGGACTATCAATTAAAGCGAGTGAAACTGGGGCTTCAGCCTTTGCCGCAGGACTTTCAAAAAACCTGCAGATGAGGTTTCTGAGGGCTTTTCTGCACGTTCAGCTGCTTTTCTTGGCAGTCGATCTATAGGCACTTGAATCAGTTTGGGTTCTTGTGTACTTCCGCCTCCAGGTGTATTTTCCCTGTGCATTGTCTGCACATCCCTAAAACAATCGGGATTTTCAGGGGAGGATCCTTTTGTCATTGGTGGCATCATTGGTGGCCTCATCAGTGGCATCATCATCATCACAGTACCACCCCCTTTAGTTGTTTGTGCATGCTTATATTGCTATATCAATATAGCCTTGTAATGTTAGGTCGAGCAGATTTTCTGAATTCGCAGCTTTCATTTTTTAAAAATATGTAAGTCTCTAGCCTCTTCCCTCACAGAGATATTGTATATCTCCAAAAGGGAAGGGGCTAGACACTTATACTTTTTTAAAAAGTGAAAGCTGGGAATTCAGTCAACCTATCATTACAATGCTGTATCAATATATCAATATGTTTGTGCCTTTAAAAAAAACAACGCAACCACTGGTCTTCCGGGTGGGGGGAAGGGGGTCGCTTGACAATGATGACAGTCCAAAAATCAAAAAATGGGGCTGGAGGTGGGTGAAAGTCGGCAGGACAAGGGAAACCAACAGAAACGTTATGCACAAGGAAAAGGGCAACTCAAAATTCGTTTCCCAAAAAAAGATCAGGATAAAAGTCGTCTCAAAAGAAACTGAAAAAACTTGGAAGGAAGGGGGGGGAAACCACCACCGCACATACACTAAAGGCACAAAAATGGGTATGAAAATCATGGGATAAACCGAAGCAGTATGAGGCCAGAACTGATGGAAAAAAACACAGGAGGAAAAGTCCTAAGTGACAGTGCTCAGAACAGCCGCTGAAAGGAACCCTTCCTGAGTTTGTCGGGACCGGGATGCAAGACACAGTCCTTCTGCTTTGTTAGGATCCAGAATTTCTCATCTCTAGTTCAACCCCTCTATAGACCTTGGTTGATACATCAAATGCCATTTCTGCTCTGAACAATTCAAACACAACTCCGCACACAAAACTACGCACTCAACGCTATTAGCGTCTGCATGGGAGTTTTTGTTTTGCTTTTGCGGCAGCCGCAACCGCAGTGGCAAACAGGGCATTCAGCCCTTGAGCGAGAAGGAAGCACACGAGGCACTCGTACACGCATGTGTGCTGCCTTCTTCCCGCACAGCTGCAGTTAGACAGGCAGACAGCGAAGGCAGCTGGCTGGCTGTGCAGGTGAGGCAGGCCCTCCATCCGGCAATGAGGCAGAAGTCAGACTGGGATGGATACAGGGGGACGACCCACCTGCCTTGCTTGCCAGCCCGCTAGCTTTGGCCAGGAAGCTCTTCTCAGGTTCAATCCCTGGCTTCTCCAGGGCCAGGGAGCAGTTGATGGGAAAGACCATCACCTGAGACGCTGGACAGCTGCTGCCAGTCAGGGTAGGCAATACAGAACTTGATGGAGACCAGTGGTCTGACCCAGCAGATCCTTTTAACTGATGATGCAAAGGAGGGATATGTGAAGCATGCGCTCCGGCACCTCAGAGCATAAGCCTGCAACAAGGATGTTTTAATCTGGAAAATGTAGCCGCTCTGCAGTATTTTTTTGGGATGCAAAAAACGTCGGCGTGAAGCTTCCAGGCCATCGCTGTTTTGAACGTGATCTGGAGGACAAGTGGGTATCAGTGCTGGCTTTTAAGCCCGCTCTGTAGCTGTGAGCCACAATGACCCAAAGCACATAACATATGAGAAATCCCATCTAGAAAAACATTCCGTGTTGCTTCCTCCCAGAAATCCTCTGTCCTTCGCATTCCTCCAACCAACCAAACAATAATCTGGTACTCCCTAACCCGGATAGCCCAGGCAAGCCTGATCTTGTCAGATCTCGGAAGCTCAGCAGGGTCGACTCTGGCAAGTACTTGGATGGGAGACCTCCTTGGAATACCAGCAGTTGGGAGGCGGGGGCAGGCTTTACTCAGCCACCTCTCTGAATATCCTCCAGGCCCCCGGGTAGGGGTCAGTCAACAGAGGTCACCACGACTTCCAGAGGTACACACACTCACACCCACACATGAAAAATACAACAACAAAAAATACAAAAGCAATAATCTGATATTAGATGAGAACTGGGATCTTTACAGGCCCTGTGTCTTGAATCTCATGGTACAGCCACTTGGGATGTTCTAAGCAATCAATAAACCCATTCGCTTGATACATTTCTGTGATTCTGAGAAACATCAAACTTGACAGATGGTCTGAATCTGTATTCACTTGGTCATTACCAACACTATACTGATAATAAAACAAACTCTACAGTTTGGTGTAGCGGTTAGGTGCGTGGACTCTAATCTGGGAGAACTGCGTTTGATTCCCCACTCCTCCACTTGCACCTGGCTGGATGACCTTGGGCAAGCCGTAGTTCTGACAAGAGCTGTTCTTGAAAAAAGAGCCGTTCCTGTCAGAGCTCTCTCAGCCCCACCTACCTCACAGGGTGTCTTGTTGTGGGGAGGGGAAGGGAAAGGAGTTTGTAAACTGCTCTGAGACTCCCTTGGGTAGTGAAGGGCGGGGTATAAATCTTCTCTCTTCTCTTTTACATCCCCTCATGTATTTTTAAAACCACTCTGCTGCCATCTGATCAAAACTGTGGCTTTGTCATGACCAGTGTTCCCTCTAAGGTGAGTTAGTGTGAGCTAGCTCACCGTTTTTTAGCCTCTGGCTCACAGATTTTTGTCTTAGCTCAGGAAGGAGGGCTCCGGAGCAAACTAATTGATGCAGGAGCCAAATTACTCGCTCACCGCTTTAATGGCAGTAGCTTAAAAAGTAGAATTTTTGCTCACAAGACTCCACAGCTTAGAGGGAACATTGGTCATGACACAGTTTTA